TTATTTAATACAAGATTTTAGGTGTACTTGCAACTAAGACTACCAAATGCACAATAGGCAGTACTTCAACGGTAGTGTGAAAATTTCCCTTGTACAGTACATTACACCAGTAGATTGTATTTAAGTCAGGTTCTTGTTTGTGGTAAAAGTTTGCGGTATTTTTTGTCGAATGCTTCTTTTCATACTTTATTACATACATTAGATTCTTTTTTTTACAAACCATAAAACAAAATATTAATATTTCAACTGTAAGAAATAAAATCATGTAAGATCCCATTTTAGAAGAATCGGTGTTAAGCTTGCAACTCACAGAAAAGACGAAACTGCTTACTCTATTATTAGTTATATCGTACACGTTAATACGAGTACTGTACGATAAGTAGAAGTTTAAAAAATATCGCGTTAAATGTAGTAGGGATGCAAGATGTTCATTCCGTTTAATATTTGTGGGTACTCCAACGCTCCTACCTGACAACGCTACGCGGCAGCACCGCCGCAAGCAAAAATTAGAGCCGCGGAGCTGGCTCTCGGCGATCCAACCCAACCCGACTGCGAAGAGACTTCTTCCCTGCGACGTACGTTGAGCACGCGACGCCAACTCTCGCAACGATCTCGCTATTCATCTGTGATTTTTAATAAAGTACAATTGCCATGTATCAATAAATATTAAGTTTATCATTCTTATAAGTGTGCGTTTCATTGTGTACTTTCACCTTGACTACCAAATATTAATTTTTGAATAAGAGAAATTTAAAATATTCAAATTTTTGATGAAACATAGAAAAGTTATGTATGTTTCATGTCTTTAAACAGAACGTCATATTATTTTGCAAGATGTATGATACAGCTCCAAGTCCTACCTTGCTTGCATCTTTCGCCAGTACCAAAGGCAGTGCTGGATCGTATGGCATTAGTACCTGAGGTGACACAAGAATTTTTACAATATCTGGAAGTAGGGCAGAGAGCTACGAGACCATGTCACAAAAATGTGTCAGTTTTTAGAAAGTCATGACTATGAACTATTACTAAATATATTATTTTATATGCAGTGAGGAAGAACCAATGTGTATGTATATAAGGAAATCCAATTCAAATTTGCTTTTACGCGTCCCAAAAAAAATTAAACTTTTTTTCCAGGCACACCTTTAAAATAATTTTTTTCTTGTTCTATGTACTCTCAATAACAAGAGAAAAATTGTATACATGAACTTTAGGCTTTGTGACACGGGGTTTCATGGCACAGAATATTTTAATATTTATTTTTTGGAGAATCCTGTGTGAGCAAGGACTTGTACTGCCTTATTATACCAGCTTATTGTTGTACTTGTGTACTACATCGAGTGTCTTTTTTGTAAAAAATCTGTCTTGATTATTAAACAAGGCTTTATTCCACAACAGAACCCAAATATTAAGAAAGTGACCCTAGTTAAATAGTTTTCAACTAAAAAATATGCAAATAACTTCCATTGTACTCGGTTGAAAAAGAAAACATTACTATGAAATTTTATGTCGGTAGTTATCATCTTACATCCAATATTATACATAACATTAAAAATATCATAATAAATTTCTATACATTATAGATAATTCATTAATCAGACATCACAGTCATTTCCTTATAGTCCGGTAGTTAAAGCACGAAAAAATGGTAAATGAGAGAATTTCTGCTGCCTAGAAGGAAATCGTCTTAATCGCTTACAAATATAGTCTAATTATTGGAAAAAATGTTTTTGACCAACAAAAACGTCGGCTTTAATTGTTATAAAACGAATGTTATAAACAAATTAGCATGTTTTATAATTGTTTAATAATTGTTGAATATTAAGACAAGAAAGTACCTTTTTTTGTTTTACACGTAGTCTGCTGTTATTATTTTCGAATTTTATACACACACGGATGAATATATATTTTAATAATCGATACAGACGTAAACTTTAACGTCTGTAAGTGGTAGGTGAGTAGTAAATGACATGCATTAATGCACCGACGGTCATGCCTGCAAAGAGAAAAATAAAAAAAAAAGATTTCATGATATATTTAATACAATATTGATTTAAAAATAATTTTTTTACAAAAGTGTTCTCCTAATCGATGAATTCAAAAAATATTTAATAGTCGTAAAAAAACGCTTATTTGCTTATAACATTTACTAAGAGCATCGTGTCAAAATCAATTTTTTTTAAAATACATAGAAAACTATTTATTTTCGTAAGAAAGTAATTGCGTTTTACTTTACCTTAAATTAACAAATTTGTAAGCATTTATTTGATTGCAGAAATTATTGTTAAAACAGGAGTGAAAATTAAAAAAAAAATTTGTTTCTATAGCATTGACGTTCTTTATATTCTTGACAAAATGGCGTAGGAATTTTAGGTTCAACTTATTTTTACGCTTTGAGCGAGCTAATAAATTTTTGAATTACGACTTTAACTGTGATGTCATTTTTTAAAATAAACAAAAAGCTTATGCACGGTTGAATATGCTTATAATAGGTACTTAATACAAAATTTTCAATCTTTATCATCAATAAATAAAAGGACTATAAGTTCAGAAAAATTAATTTTAAAACAGGAAATTTCACGCTTTTTTGAGACTGACCACTGCAACAAACAAATTTTTAAATAATAGAGAAAACTTTAATTAATAGAAAATTTCATCATGGACAATTTCTCTCAAGCACTTGTTTGAATCAGAGCAACAGAAAAGAAGTAATGAGCCAAAATGTTAAAAAATTTGATTAATTATCACAACTTGTTAAATATTAATTGAAGTCAACGTATTTGTAGGTCAAAAATATTTTTTCCAATAATTAGACTATATTTGTAAGCGATTAAGACGATTTCCTTCTAGGTATCAGAAATTTTCTTATTTACCATTTTTTCGTGCTTTAACCACCGGACTATAAGGAAATGACTGTGATGTCTGATTAATAAATTATTTATGATGTATAGTGATTTATTATGATGTTTTTATGGTTATGTATGATATTTAATGAAAGATGATAAACTACCGACATAAAATTTCATAGTAATGCTTTTTTTTCAACCGAATACAATGGAAGTTATTTGCATATTTTTCAGTTCAAAACTATTTTACTAGGGTCACTTTCTTAATATTTGGGTTCTATTGTGGAATAAAGCCTTGTTTAATTATCAAGACAGATTTTTTACAAAAAAAGACACTCGATGTAGTACACAATTAAAACGAGAATCTGGTATCATAAGGCAGTACAAGTCCTTGCTGACCCAGGATTCTCCAAAAAATGAATATTAAAGTATTCTGTGCCATGGAAAACCGTCTCACAGAGCCTAAAGTTCATGTACACGATTTTTCCCTTGTTATTAAGGGTACATAGAACAAGAAAAAATTTATTTTAAAGGTGTGCCTGGAAAAAAAGTTTAATTTTTTTTGGGACGCGTAAAGACTAATTTGGATTGGATTTCCTCATACTGTAATATAGCAGAGTCAAGCTCTATCTGCTCCCCTGTGGTCAAGCAGATGCTGTAAGGTGACGTTGAATTAAACAGGTACTACGAGTATATTTACATGGGATTATCCGTGTATGCACGTTTGACGACTCATCAGGATATTTTGTTTTCGTATTTCTGCTATGGATTTCTCTTTGTGTAGAAATAAGCAATAGCTGCACTTTTGGTACTTGCGTTTTTATACCTGTATGTTCGCGTTGGCTAAATTAGGAAGTATATCATAAATACGTAGTATAGAGGCCAGCTCAGCAAGCTGCTCACCAGCCAACAGTAGCAGCACTGTACTGTATACATATAGGTACAATTTACAGTCACTGGAAGTAGGGCAGAGAGCTACGAGACCATGTCACAAAAATGTGTCAGTTTTTAGAAAGTCACTCCCCAAGCCGAGATCCTGAATATCCCATAAAAAGCACCACTTCAAAAATATATGATTAATTATCCACGGTTGTTACAAAAAATGGTTCCAAAATTATTAAATTACGTCATTTTTCTTGTCACAACAAACAAAAAATATGACAGGCATTAAACTTTTTTCCACGTTATAGAGCAAGTGCTAAGTTTATTTCTTATAGTCTTTTGATATTTGAAAATTCATTTTCATTTGTACACAGTAACTTACGCTATTACTTATGAAATATGAGTTCTAGTTAATAGGTTTAAAGTTATTTATGAACGCAATTTTTTTAACCATTAATTTATTTATATAAATGTTCTTGAATGGTTAGACATGAAAAAAAAATCACCCCTCAAATGATTTAAAGGTTGAATTATCCAAATTACAAGCTTATAAGCCCGCTGAGTAACGACGCAGTATGGTAAGGGAGGTATTTATACTTTGAGGGAAGTACCGCCTCATGTAACATCACTGATTCTAATGAATTTTATACTAAAAATACGATGTTTAGCGATTTTGTCATGTATGTGGGTATGAAATGAAATGTATTTACTCGTAGAGTTAAGTAAAAGTATTTTAACTGATCACAATACAACAATATTAAATAATAAGATTAGGTATGTAATGGTAGATTGATGAGCAGTGTGTCGTGCGGGTCTCTCGGTTACTCGTAATGAACTCTCTGCTGCTACTCAAATGAGGCTCTAGGTAAGCCACGGTCGATGCGCGCCCACACTACTTTTTTAAACTATAGACACAACATTTCCTCTTTCCTTTAACAATCGAGCTTGATAACTCTAGGAAGCAAAGCGCTGTGGTGGACGTCGCTCTCGTGTCGATCGACGTAGTGGAACAGGAACGACGTTAAGTGATGGAGTCCGAGGTGGTGACGGTCCTGGAGAAGGTGGTTGTGGTGACTGCACTGGACTCCCTGGCGTTGAGTTGTCTTCCTGATGCTCGGGTACATCTGCCTGCTCATAGAATCGCGTGCGGTGATTTTTCATCTACACTGCCGGAGTTTTACAGTCTATAAAACTTGGTGCCAGCCCTTGGATTTCCTTACTCTCTTGACGAATCCGCATTTGGTTGACGTGCCGTTTGAAGCGTTTACCGTCTTATTCAATCTCATAATTCAAGTCGCCTATTTTGCATGTAATGAGTCCAGGTATCCATTTATCTGCTCGAGTGTTGTTGGATAGAAAGAATACGTGCTGTCCTTCTTGGAACACTCGAAACGCTGGATTAAATTTCGCTTGCTGCTTCTCCGTGACTCGTACGGGCACTGAGTCAGGTCTCACCAAATCCAGTCGTGTGCGAGGCAGCCGCTCCAAGAAAAGCTGTGCTGGTGGTTGACTCGTTGTCAAGTGAGGAGCCTTTTTATACTGCCTTAAAAATGCACTTAAATATTGCTGCAATGAGCCTGGAGTAGATCTCATCCTGATCAGTGCCTCCTTGACAGTCTGAACATACCTTTCAGCCTGGCCATTGGTTTCAGGGTGGTACGGGGCTGTCAACTTATGGTATTTGACTCCGTTTTGCTGCAGGAAATTTTTAAATTCTTCTGAGTCAAACTGCCTCCCACAATTAGAAACAACAGTAACAGGGGATCCATATGTAGCGAATAATTCGTCTAGTATAGCTGTAGTTGCTGCGCTTGTAGTTGAGCTTGTTGTTTTGACTTCAATCCATTTGCTGTATGCATCGACGATGATTAGCAGCATTTTGTTTGCTAAAGGTCCTGCGTAGTCAATGTAGATGCACTTCCATAGTCCTTTTGTATACTCCCAGTGATGTTCTCGAAATTTCGGTGGGTTGTGAGCGTGCTTTGCACACTCGGTACAAGTTCTGGCCGAATCCTCAATGTCAGCATCTATCCCTGGCCAATACACGAATATACGTGCCAGTCCTTTTATTTTAACCATGCCAATGTGGGCTGTGTGGAGATCTTTTAGAATAGCCTGACGAAGTGAGGGTGGTATTACCACTCGATGCTCAAACATTACCCAGTCACGTGACAAAGTATAGCTATTCTCTGGAGGTTTGTATCCATGGCGATTGAAGTCCTGGCCACCGGAAAGCAACTGAACAATTCTCCCAAGATTCTGAATTTTTTTTATTTCTTTTGCAATCGTTTCAGCCTTAACTGGCAATTGAGCAATTTGGTGAATTGCGAATTGATCGAATTCATCAATACTTGCAATTTCTTCCTCCTTCAGGGAAGATCCAGGAATTCTTGAACAATAATCTGCATTTGCATTAGCTTTTGATGGTTTGAATTCTACCGTGTAATTAAAATGTGCCAAATAATCAGCGTAATTGGCCATTCTACTGATACATAGCATAGGCAGCGACTTTTCCGGATGTCAAATTTGCGTCAAGGGCTGATGATCTGTAATCAAGTAGAAATGACGAGCATATAAGTAGCGGAAAAACTTTCTTACTGCCCAAACAACAGCCAGAGCTTTCTTATCTATCTGTGGATATTTTTGCTCAGTGGCAGTCATTGTACGAGCTGCATAGGCTATCGGACGCTCTTTTCCATCAGCTAGGCGGTGTGACAACACAGCTCCAAGTCCTACCTTGCTTGCATCTTTCGCCAGTACCAAAGGCAGTGCTGGATCGTATGGCATTAGTACCTGAGGTGACACAAGAATTTTTTTAATATCGAGATATGCCTTCTCTGCTTCCTCGGTCCACCAGAAAGATTCTTTTAACAGCACATCACGAAGAGGTCAAGCTTTCATGGCAAGATCTGGAATAAATGCATTGTAGTATGTAGCTTTACCAATGAAAAGCTCTAACTCTTGCGCACTCGGTAGCTTTGGTGCTTGCAGGATTACCTGAACATGGTTATCTGATTTATGTATTCCTGAAGCATCCAATCTGTGACCGAGAAATTCTATTGAAGGTGCGGCAAAAGTGGATTTTTGCCGGTTCAAACGGAGACCATTTTTGTACAGCACTTCTAGAACTGTGTCCAAGGTCTGCATGAGATTGTCAAATGAATCAGCAAAAATTATTAAATCGTCGAAGAAGTTCAACATATGAGGAATGTCCTTAATAACTGATTCCAATCTCCGTTGCCAAATTGCAAGAATATTCGCTGCACCGTAAACTGCTCTAGGCTATGAGTTGGTGTATTGAGTGTCAGGGCTTGACTGAATTCCTCGTCGACAGGTAGATGTGTATAAGCATCTGTGATGTCTAAGTGACAAAAAATCTTGGCTCCATGCATTTTATTAAATATATCCTCTTGCTTGGGAATCGGATGCTCGTCGATGACGATCCTTGGATTTAACGTAGTTTTGTAATTACCTGTAATACGTAGTGGGCCACTCTTTTTCAACACTAAGTGTGTTGTCGAAGCCCATTCTGAATGATCAACACGATTGTACTGCCTTGTTGAGAGTTTTTCATCTATCTCTTTAGCATATGCGTCTCTCAGAGCATAAGGAATGTCTCTTGCCTTTGCAAACACAGGTGTAGCTCCCTGTCTCAAGTGCATTTTAACAGGCGGGCCCTTCAGCTTACCCGCAGTCGCATTGAAAACATCACTATGTCTTTGCAGTAGCTCCTCTAAGCACTGAGTCTGTACTTTAGACAGCTCTGACGAAGTTGCATTTAGGTTATGCACGCGCTGAGGAGTGAAAATCGTATTCCAATCCATTTGACGTATAGGTTAAAAATTTTCGTTGTATTTTCCATCGTTACGTTCACTGACGCGCATCCCATGCATTGAAGTATGTGGTGTGAATAACTTGCAAACAGCCTGTTTGGTGGCTTTAACTGAATTTCTGACTTGGTTTTACGCATTGTACTACCAATTAAGCTACTTTGGAGCGCCAGTATCTATCTCCATGTTGACAATGCATCCGTTTATTTTTACTGCAACAATCCTTTTATCACTCGACCGCGCTGGCTGCGATTCACGCGCCAAATTTAATGACAGAATATTATCAACGGTCGGTAACGGTTCCTCCTCTTCTTGCATTTGATGAATTTGCATTTTCTTGGATCTACACATTTTTGTTATGTGACCCGTCTTCTTGCATGCATGACACGTCGCATCACGAAAAGGGCATTTAGAACGTAAATATTGAGCTCCACAGCCAAAACAAGCTTCCATACTATTTGGTTGCTTTGTCTTCTCGTTCGCGTCCTTTTCTCTTGGTTTCTTGCCTCCAGGGAGTGGGCAACCTCATACGCATCCTTGAATGTATTAGGCTTTTTTGCAATTATCTCATCGCACATGTCGCGATCCGAAAGCCCATGCATTAACTGTTCGATAAGTATTCGGTCGAGGAACTCCCCATTGTCACAATCAGATGCGCCTTGTCGTAAACGTAAAAGAAAACTCGCGACTGTCTCTTTCTCGCGCTGCACTATGCGTCTAAACTTGACGCTTTTGGCGTATTTGTTTTTTTCGCAATCGAAGTGTGTTTGAAGTACTTCTCTTATCTTCTCAAACGTGCAATCCTTGGGACCTTCAGGAGCAAGTAGGAATTTTAAGGCGTCATTGAGCTCTGTACCCATGTGTACACGAGCGTAATTAGCATATGAACTTTCCAGAATTTTGCTCATCTCAAAAGCCCACTGAAATCTTTTGGAATAATCTGCAACTATTGCCCCGTCAGATCCACGAAACGGTTAAAATGAAAAAAGCAGTGCATTTGGTTGCGAGGTTAGACCTTGACTTTGCGCAGCTACTGCTGGAAGAGTAGATTTTAATGCATTAACGAGTACTTCCGCGAGCGCATTTTGTAATTCTGGTGAGATCTCCGCCATTATCGCGACACACTTTCTCACCACTTTTTCGTTGTTTGGTTAACAAAGACGCGGCACTGAAGCACTTTTTTTTCCTTAACTTCTGACACCAATTTTATCATGTATGTAGGTATGAAATGAAATGTATTTACTCGTAGAGTTAAGTAAATGTATTTCAACTGATCACAATACAACAATATTAATAAGATTAGGTATGTACGGTAGATTGATGAGCTGTGTGTCGTGTGGGTCTCTCGGTTACTCGTAACGAACTCTCTGCTACTACTCAAATGAGGCTCTAGGTAAGCCACGGTCGATGCGCGCCAACTCTACTCTTTTAAACCATAGACACAACAGCGATGATTTTTGTTTTCTTCCAATCACACCAAAAATCTGAAAAGTCATTTAACTTACTAACATGGTAGTTTAATAATCAAAGAAAAGAATTACTTTTTTTTTTTTTTAAGCGGTATCTCATCTTGATGGCCGATACTAATTTATGAATCAACGAATTTTATAAAAGAAATACGTTCATCAGCAATCGTTCTTGTTTTATCGCTATCAGACCAAAAAATTTTTTAACTTAAAAATATAGTAGATGCAATTTGTTAGACAGATACGATTTTTCAAGGAAAAACTGAACTTGTTTTTCGATACTGATCCATGAATGATCGGGATTTATACAAGAATTAAAATTTTTATTGATAAATCTTGTTACCTCACTATCAGATAAGAAATTTCAGGGATTTTTTTACTTATAAACATGAAATTACAGTTATAAAAAAGAAAAAGTTTCTTTAAAGGAATACATCATCTTGTCTTACGATACCGATTTGGGAATTGACGAATTTCATACAAGAAATATACTTTTTCAGTGATAAATCATGTTTTCTCGCTATCTGACCAAAAATCTGGGACCTTAAATCTATAAATATTGTATTCTAGTTGTCAACGAAAAAAAAAATTATCAGAGTGGTACTTTATCTTGTCTCGGATATTAATCTAGGTTCTGACATATCACATAAAAAAAAAAAGATCTTTAACGATAATTCTTATTTTCTAGATATCAGACTGGTAATTTAAAAAGTGTTTGAACTAATAACTATAGTGATATAGAATTAAAAAAAAAAAGTATTTTTAGAGGAGTACTTTATCTTGTTATACGATACATCTCTAAGAATTGACAAACTTTTCACAAGAAATGCAACTTATACGACATTGCTATTTATGAAACGTAAATTTCTTATTCTTGCTATCAGATTCAGAATTTTGAGGTTTTTTTGAACTACAGCCATAGTATTAAAGTAATTAGGAAGATAAAAACCAATTTTGGAGAGGTATCTTCTCTTTTTCTCCCTTTCTGATCTAGGGATCGAGGATATTTACGCAAGAAATACGATATTTAGTGATAACTTTTTTTTACTCGCTATCACACCAAAAATCGAAAGGTTTCTTTAAAATATCAACATAGTATGATGGTTAGAAAAGAGGACAAACAGTTTGTAGAGGGCTTACTTTATCTTGTTTTCCGATACTTATATCTTGAAATCAATAAATTTTAAGTAACAAACGTGGTTACCAGCAATTACTTTTGTTTTCTTGCTTATATACTCAAAATCTCAAGGTTGTCTTGACTCATACACAGATTTTCATAGTTTCGAAAGAGAGAGAAAGATTTTCTAGTGGGTTACCTCATCTCGTTTTTCAATGCTGATCAAGGAATCAAGAAATTTCAATCAAGACATACAACTTTCAATAATAATTCTTGTTTTTCCGCCATCAGACCTAAATTTCAAAGGGCTTTTTAACTCTGAGCCTAGAATATTTTGTAATTTAATATATTATAAAAAATCTTGCGGGGTGCCTTAAATAATTTTTCATACGTAGGTACATGCTTGCAAACACCTACAAATACAGGTATATTGGACTCTTTGGAGACGAATTGATTGTTTTGTACGTTAAAAAAAATTTTTTTACTATTGACTAGTCTGTATCGTTTTGTTTAAAGTGCATAGTAATAATTTTCACTAGTACAAAAAAAGTGGAAGAAAGTTTTGATTAATGCAAACACAGCAAGAACAAGGTTTTCTAGAATAATTGCAGCTTAGAAAAAAAGAGTAATTATAAAAATTTCATTAAAAATAAAAGTGAGCTACGAGTTTCTTGTCGGTTTTGCTAGTTTTGTATGAATTTTTATTAATAGTCGTATTTTGTCTACTGTAAGAGATATCTACTGACCTGACTTGTTGAGCTTTGTTTATATTATAAAAAATTGAATGGTATTGTGTGACTCAACCTCTTTTTTTACTTTGACAACTTTTTTTGATAACGCTCTCTTACGTGTGTGTACATGTAAATTAACTTTTGAGCAAGCTCTAACAAGAGGGTGATCCGTGATAACAGGCAAATAAGAAAATTACAAGGATGTCTATCTACGACATGATATATATGTACACAAGAGCATGCATTTATCTAGGGTAAAAGAGGATGAATTCTTCCTAAGCAGAAATATTATAAAACACACATAATTGAATGTGGTGGAGTGGGCACTAATGGTCCT